TTTTTTTTTTGTTGATCTGCTATTATAACAAAAGCAGCGCGCATGGTGTAACAGATAATAAAAAAAATTATCTGATATATAAAAGAAAATTGCCATTAATTAAGCCACAACTTAATCAACATTAAGACAAATAAGCAATTGTAATTATTTTTATTTTAATTCTTAATTAAATTTCAAAATTGAATAGTAATGCGTGGAACATCTATCAGCAGGGATGTAACACATAAAAATATCGATAATCAGTAAAATTTATATTCAAAAGTGTTTCCATTTAAAACAGAGGTGTTATGGATATGAAATTTCGGATTTGGATATGAATACGAAAATGCGCCCCTATCCGAAATTATTCGAAATGTTTGTATCAAATTCAGTTACAGTTTCGGATAAATTTTTATTTTGTATATATGCTACTGTTCGTCAATCACTGCATTTCAAAATTATCTAAATTACTTTAAAACTCACCTACTTTAATTGCCGTTTCCATAATCTATAGATACATAGATCCTCTTCTAGTGAATTTTTTTATTTTCGTTTATTCCATAAGTTTCCAGTTCCTAGAACAAATACATGCACTTATATACGTATATACTTATATAGGCAGGATAACAGAATATGTGAATACGGAAATTAGGCAGGATAATTGAAAAACAAAAGGATAAACAAGAAACTTGTTCAAAATTAAAGTTATTGTACTACAAAAATAAAACCTGGCAATACCTCAAAGCCATATGTTTTGCAATACTATAATAACTAATAACGATTATTAGGGATTAATATACAAAAAATTAAACAATTAAATTATAATAAAAACTGAAACTATTTAAGATCAACATCTTATGTGTGACGTCATCAATAGCAGGGACTAGGCAATATTGTCTTCATCACCCTAACAGTTATTGATGGGGATGGTTTTAACCTTGAGTACTTTTGGTTTTTATTATAATTTATTAATTCTTTAATTTATTGAATATTTAACGATTGACCTTTAATAAGCAGTTCGCGAGAAATTTAATGAGCAATTGTTTGACAACTGAAAATCTTGCGAAAGGTCATAGTCATAACGGCAGCTTCCCTGTGGTTCTATGGACCCAGTTTTGTGAATCGCGTCCACTAGGTGGCGATATGTGGCGTTTTAGAAATAGCTAATTTTTGTAAAATATTTCATGGGCCATGACCTTGAGCTGCTAAGTGACAGAACCAGTGGCAGATCCAAGAAGGAGCTTCATTAATCTCTACATTTTTACTTCTTAAAAACATTGATTTTATTCGATTAAGCTAACGTGCCTTTCACGTTGAGGTTGGCTACGCCGGGATTCGTTTTCAGCAAGTAGATATCCACACAAGTGGACCTTGTTGGAGCATACGTAATCCTAAAATGTAGCATCGTGCTACAGATGGCGTTTACTGCGCCATTTGTAGTATTTTCTAAAACGCACTGTTAAGACAGCAGGTAAAAGTTGGTCTGTGTTCTGTCGGAGCTGCCTGCGACGCGCTGATGAGATCCAAAAAGATCGAAATCGCGATCCGCGTCTGGCAGGTTCGACAGAATACAGGCCACTTCGAATTGTTTTATTGATTTTCAATGTTTACAGTTTATTAGAAGCGAGACACCATGGTTAACAATCGAGTTAATATTTTTGAGATGTACAATATGAACCTAATAAAGTCCAACTTTCGCGCATTTCGGGTGCCATGAGATTTTAAAGTACCTCTACATGCCTAACGTGTACGCCCAAAATATGGACTGGTATATCTGCTAAATAAATGAGCACAAATTAAAACCGACTCTATATACTTGCTTAGTAGGTACCAAACGTTTTTGTTCTTCATAAAGAGTAAAAGTAAAAGAACTGGAGGAGTTTCTCTTATGCTATAACTCCCTCCGTTTAACGTTGCGTTTGTGTACGTATTAAAAATAATGCCCTTTTAAAATGGCCATTCGACTGGAATCAATTTGCACCAGCACTGGCACGTGGCTGCATCATTATCAGGCGTGAGAAGGGCACTTTTATATTGTGGCGTAATCACTAAATCAAACTACTACTGTTGTTGCGTATAGACTGGTCTTAAAAAAATCGTTTCGGAGACATGGAACTGTCAAATATAAGGGAAACATGATTTATATTGGAGTTTGTACTGTTTTGGATGATTTAGGGGGACCATTACAAGACTAAATAATAATAAATGAAACTGTAATCTCTGCTTTCGTACAATCAAATGTTTCTATGTAAGTTGGAACCTCCTTAAGGATGTTTGGGAGGTATGTCAAAATGCTACGAGACAAAAAAAAATTTGGAAGAACGTTCCTTATTCAATTCTAAAGGTCCTGTAAAAATTACAAATCATTCACTAAACCGAAAAAAAGTTATTGAAATTTTTAAAAATTGTTTCCAATGTTAAAGTTATGTTTGTCTTTCAATCCAGTTTATCTTTAGCCGCAAAATATTAACAATTAAAAATTTTATGCCAAATGATAGATTAATAAGTAACCAAAGAGTTGTGATTAATTTTAATTAATAAATACATTGCGTTTATTANACGATAATATTTATAATTGTCTGAAATAAATGCAATTTTAAAGTTTTAATTATTATTTAAACATATTAAAAAGTTTTACGCTCATTATTAATAGAGATTGAAACTAAATATTTTTTTGTTTCGAAGTTGAAATCAAGGCATATTCACTGCCAAAAGTCAGTTAAAATTTTTCCATATTATTCGTTATTTCTTATTTTCTTCAAAGTTTTTGGTCAAATTCCAAATTTTCTCTCAAACCGTATACTTTTTTTTTTAGTATATATAGCATTTATTTCCTCATGATATGCTGCAAAAGCTAATTAATCACGAATTTCTAATTTTATGTACTCTTGTCTCCAATTGTACCTCCCAAACATCCTTAAGTCAATTTATCCGCCGGATCCGACACTTTTTTGGGTACCGGATAATGATGCTGAGTTTTTCTACCAGAAAAAGAAAATCAAAAAACACCAGCCATAAATGCGAATGTGAGTTTGTTTGTTTGTCAGCTTTTCACACCTTAACTACTCAACCTATAATATAATCATGAAATTTTATTTTTATAAATTAGTAAGCTAATAAATTACTAATTATTGTATAAATAAATAATCAGGATGTCTAAGGTAGAGCAATTTTTCCATCATCATGACAACAGCTATATTAGATAAAAGTAAAGGTAAACAAAGTAGTAAGACAGTTTTCTTATTAAATGTGTCAATAATCAAGAAACTATAATCTTACTTAAAAATGCGATTATGGTTTGGGAAATTTTTATGGAAAATATATCTTCTAAAAACGCTTTTTGTCATACTCCTTGCAGTAACAACGATACTCTTTATCAGCCCATTACCTACGAAGATATTCAAGAAAGAAAAATACATTCATTCAACGTTTGAAGAAGAAAATTTACTGACAGCAAATGTTGGATGCGTGATTTCCAACGCCAGCGTGGACGACATATATTCATCATTAAATGTAATCCAAACTACTAAGGTCGCAACTTGTCCACCAGCTTTATTGACATCAGGAGTGTCTTCGCTGTTTTTGAAAGAAAAATCTACTGTTGATACTCTCAACTTTAACTGTTGTTATTTTGCTGGACACAAAGAACAAGAAAATATTAATTGTACTGGTATTAATTTAAGTAAACCAATGGTGGTAAATGATGAATTTATAACTGTGAAATGTTTCTCTAATGGAAAACAAAAAGTGTTCGAAGATTATTTTACTTTCGTTCCACTAGAAACACATACGTCATTGACAGTTGAAAGAAATGTGCCAAACATTCTAATCATTCTCCTAAAAGACATTTCAACAAATGAGTTTCAAAAACATATGCCAAGTACGTACAAATTCTTTAAAGACAGGCCATCGAATGCGATCGAATTCCTTGCTTTTCAACCATCAAAGGAAACTGTACAAAAACTTTTGTTTTATTTTAATAATAAGCAACACAGAGATGATCAATTTGTTACTTTACATTCGATTTGGAGAGATTTTCAGAAGTGGGGATATAAAGTAGCAGTAGCTGATAATATGAATGATGAAACTCCTTTTGGTACTGAAAGCGCGTCACCGAATTATAATCCAAAACAATTCTGGAGTAAAAGAATTTCGACCGGGCTCAATCCCGGAACACTTTGTATTGGTTCTAAACAACCCGACGATATCCTCCTTGAGTATATCCTGAAATTTACGACAACCATGAAAGAACATAATGCACCTTATTTTGGATTTTTCCGAGAAATGTATGTCAGTACGTACAAAGACAATTTACTACTAAGCGCTGATAAAAAATTTCGATCATTATTTGACAATCTTTACGAATCCGGGGCACTAAAAAATACATTCCTATTCTTTTTGAGTGAAGTCGACTTTAAAAAAGAGTATCGTCCTAAAAATCCATTCTTTTGGCTACTAGTACCAGATGGTTTCACAAAATCTGAGAGAAACTCATTCATCAACATGCAAATTAATTCAAGAGCTTTGATCACAGTGCACGATATCACCGTAACATTGAAAGATTTGCTGAAACTTTATACCGACTTCAAACCTGCGTTTCAGGATAATTTCAGCTTATTAACACCGATTACAAATCTAAGGAGTTGCGACTTATCCCACATTCCTGTCGACACTTGTGTCTGTTTTCCCATAAAGTATCAAATAAGTAACCAATTATTACTTGAAGTGAACCAGTACGTAATTAATTACTTAAATTACGAGCTCAAAAGATACCCGGAATCTTCCAAAAAATGCCCACCATTTGTCACGTTTGAGGTACTTTATGGATTTAGTCATGAAGCACCGGCTTCCAAGATTTTAAACGGAAAACGTTACATTACCATAGTGTTTAATACCAACTTCAATGTGCCTTACTGGGCCATTGTAAAGCAAATTGGTACAGATAATACTAAAATTTTTAGCATAGTGGATAGCGTCAAGCTTTATGAACCAAAACGTGGAGAAATAGCAACTTCTTGTTTAACTATAAACACACAACTTGATGATTATTGCCATTGTTAAAGAGAATTTTGAATGTGTTGTATGAATGTTATATGCTACCTTATTTGTATTTTCTAATGTTATTACTCATATTTAATAAAACTTAACCAAAACAAGAAAGATTGCAGTCTTATAACGTTGACGTCATATTATATTGGGTACTTAAGTTAGTGTTCGTATTTCAATAGAGAAGAAGTGATTCGATTGTATTAAACTAAGAAACAAAAAGGGGAAAACAAAATGAACGTTCTAACGTTTCGCCTACTTCATTGTTGCATCTGTGAATTTTATATTGCTGTCAATGGGCGACAATTTTTTGCCCCGCTAGCAGTCAGTCTGCCGGACTAACGTGGACGGAAATATAATTTTTGCAAACGTCCTTTCGGTAGGCTTAATGGTCCCATTGTGTTAAACCAGTGTTGAAAGCACGACCTGAGTCCGGTAGTGCAATAAAAACGGTGATATATATGAGCCGTCGAATTCTGAGAACTCTACTGTGAATCGGACGCTAAAACAGAATGTGAACTTTGAAACGACCTGTTCGTTCGTTGTTTCTCAACAATGACCATCGTCGATAGGTACCTCATCCACAGCCGAAAAAAATTATAAAAGTAAGTACCTCCCGTAATGCCCAATAAATTCTATTACCGACTTTAAAACCGAAACTCAGCATTATAGAAGAGCCATAAACAAAAGAAGTTGAATCATTAGATCAACGTTTTATCTTCCACGAGGTTTTTTTTTTTTCAATCAGAAAGAAACATCCACTACACAATATTTTATTACTAAAACTTGAACAGTGTTTTATTAATTTTGCTAGTAGGAACGATTAATTTAGAAAATCGAAAAAGATTGTTAAAGGGGTATATTCGGAGCGCGGCGCTAAACAGATGCGAAACATGCACGGTAGGCGCGACGGAAAAGAAAAGGTTAGAAACTTTCGAAATGTAGTGTTATAGACGAATAATGATGATTAAACCGTGGATAGAGAAGGTTAGAAATGAAAAGGTATTAGAAGGAATAAGAAAACAGAGGACTCTATGAAAGTTAATAAGAAAAAGGCGAGATAGGTTGGTAGGACACCTTTACAGGACCTTCAAGGCAGAAACAGGAGTTAAGAGGATCAGAGGTAGACCTAAATTAGATTACTGTTCGCAAATAATTAAGGATGTGGGATGTTCTAGTTTTAGAGAAGTGCGAAGATTACCTCAGGATAGGAAAGAATGGATGAGCTTGTCTAACCAGTCTTAGGACTGACGACCTTATGATGATGATGAGGTACATAATCATTGACGCCAGCTTTCCCATATGTCCTCTTCAGAGAAATTTAGCGCCAATGAAGTCAGATATGTCTTGAAAGTCCTTCGTTGGTGACAAAACGTTGTCCTAACGACTAACCATGCTTTCAATTGTCAAAAGAAAAAAACTGAGATTGTGCGAGGTCCAGACGACCTTACTGTACAAACAGACCGTCTTAAACAATTCTAGTGAGACGTTTTCGACCACCTACTGTTTAGTTCAAACCTTGCGATGACTAATTTTCACCTTTTTCGTCAATTGAACACATGGTTGGCTGGACAACACTTCGGTAGCAACGAAGAACTTCAGAACCATACTTATCAAAACCGGACCTCACCGCATTGGTGGTAAACTTCTATGTGTAAGAGTCTCTTTTGTTATAACTCATCGGAGGTTAAAAAGAAATGGTCGTCACAATTACTACACTGGCTTAAAAGGGGTTAATCAATTCGAATATGCCCATAAACCTTGATAAATATTGTCAAACCTTCCTTGTACTCTAAATAGTGAATAATCCACAACCTTACTATCTTTATACCATTTCAATTTTGACGCATATAGAACATAGGAACTATTTCTAGAGCAAAAGGATTTTCAAAGGATTTGATACCGAAACCCTTTGGGGTGGTTCAAAACAACTCAATAATGCCAATTCCTTGAGTATTAGGTAATTATGTCCTAGAGTCTCGAAGATTACAAAAACCATTGAGGAATATATGTAGCGTGTGTTATTTTGGAGATGGTAATCGAACTTTAATTTAGATATGTAGTGCAGTATTCTGACTTGTGACGTAAATTAGATGGTGACGGTGGAGGTACTATTTTTTTTGATCATCAGCCTTGCAAGAAAGGTATTTTTTTAAGAATCTATTCTTTTGACTAGAAGTATACCATCGATGATGTTTGGAAGAAATTATTTTTATTATGAAGCAGATTAATTCAAGAACTTTAATCAAAGAGTAAAAATTATCATCGTTACTTTACAGGACAGATATCAGATGGTAAGGATGTCGAAAATGTCATCAGATATTACAATAATACAACAGCTTTCAAAAGCTGGTTCAATTCGGCTTGTTCCTCAAATCATCTAATTTTCTAATATATTACGTACTTTTCAAATTTGGTGGGTTATTGCACATTTTTTCCTGGAATAAGGACTTTTGCGAAAAATGCGGGAACGGTGGAAAGGTATATATGTATATCCGATGGGTATATTTTTGCAATGTTGCGATTGGTGCATTTGTGAAAGGATGTCGCTCGTTGATGGTGAGTGCCAATCGGTTGGTTACCAACTCGTGGCGACAATAACATCTCAAAAGAAAGAGCACATGCAACGGGAATCGCGTTGCATTGGATTTTGTCGCGGTCCAGAGACCAGCCTCCAGCTCGCGGCCATTAAACGCTATCAATTCAACGTGCGCCAATCATGAGAAACCGCGGTCGCGACTTGCCGGCAGGTAGGTGGTGCGCGACATTTCCCATTGGGTGCTAATATGCACGTGTTTGTGTCACATGGACCCGATGGTGACGATCGACTTAAGTTTCTTCACTTGCTTCACGAATCCCAAGATTACAAAGCATTTTTTCAATTACCTACTGCTGATTTAAACACTACATCATTTTCACCTGGTTCTGTATCTCCTTTTAAAGATAACTGAAGTCAGCACTGGAGACTGTGCTTACCTTTTAGCTCAATGTAACAAATACCTATATTTTTGAAATACAACTTCTTTTGACGTACCTACTAACGTGATGTAATGATCCCTTTAGGAAGCATTAAGAAACTGAAGATAGTTCTTAGTCCTTATTAGAAAAAAAGCATTATCTGGGTGGTACATTATACTTATTTCAATTTTCAATGTACCATTGACTAGAAACGACAGTCGTTTTGAGACGGACAAAATGTTCACAGAAGAGAGTAAAAGATTATCTGTGGAACCCCTAGCATTTGCCTAATAGTGGTCTAAGAAAACCACATAAAAACTAATTTGGACCAGGAGAGATGGATCCGGAATCGAACTGATGTCCTCCCGAATTCTAGGCAATGTCTAAAACTCTAGGTCATGCCGCTCCATCAAAAGCAAGATAAAAAAATCGTGAACCTATTATTTCACATGTAGAGAAGGCCACTGACATAAATAACCCCTCCCCCTTAAATTTAATAGAGCAGAGAAGCAGTTAACGGTATGTAAAAGTAAGCGAAAGTTGTATCTGACTACCGTACCAGAGGGATAGGTAGGTACTAGTAAAAAAAAAAACATTGAATTGTGAATTTAGCAAGGAATTATTGTATCAACCTTTTGATCTGTGCTTGCCTATTAAGTTCCCCAAAGGAGTCCAGGCCTTTCAGTAACTAGTCCGAAACTTTAAAATAATAAACAGATTGAAAAACTATGTTCGAACTTATTGTCATCATCGAAAGATCTTCAACTAATGGTGTGACAGGCATATATATTTCAGTTTTTCATATCTTGAGTCAACCTTCGCATTTATCAAAAGAAAACTAGAAAACTTACATCACTATAATTTGTAAACAGTAATCTATAGGTAGATCTACCACTGCCCCCTTTTGCTCCTGTTTCTTTTTCTACTATAATATGTTTCTATTAAGCAGTCCTTAATGAGTATTTTACATCAATTTGTCTCGCCCTTTTTTATTGACTTGATACTCCCTATTCTCATAAGTACTTTTTCTAATACGTCTTCATTCCTATAGCCTTTTCCATCCACTGTATTTATTTTTAGCATCCTCCTATTACAACACATCTCAAATGCATCTAATAACTTTATCTTTTCCGCAACGTCCATCGTCCAACGAGTTTCACACAATTTATATATTACAAATTTCAAAAATGGTTCTCAGTACGTAGTGTAGGTTACAGGACACATGATAATAATAAGATAAATGAATTAATCGTATGATTACAAGGAACCATGGATTATAATTTTGTTCCATATTAGTTTATATTAATTATTCATTTTTGAAATTTATAATACATAAAAATATAATAGATACTTACTAATAGATAAATATTGTCAAACCTTC